GTATGATATTGGTAATGGTTGACCTGAGAGACTGGTAAGTCATAGTAAGATGATGAGAGGGTTGTGTTACTGGGGCTCACCCAGGTAATTGGAATGCTCCATGAACAGGTCCGTTTAGCAGCACAAGAATGGGGGCTCAACCCAGCCAGAATAAGGGACAGCCCAACTGGCTTAAACCAACCCCAAGTGCTAGGCACTAACCTGCCTTGGTCCCACTGAGTGAATAGAGGCAGGATACAATAAAAGGCTTAGTTTGGATCAAAGTTTGGTAGCTGGAGCAGAGGCAGCTGTGACAGCAATATCACTTTAAGATGGCCGCTGGACTAACAGCCATTAGTATGGGGAGGATAGTACCTCCCCTAGTTTGGGCGGCAAAACTAGGAGTTGTACGAACGCCAGGCAGAGCTGGGCATTCGTGAGTGCAAACAGCCGAATGTGCGCTGGTCGCGAGCGCCTAAAAGGCGATCGTGTAAAACTCCCAAACGACAAGCGTTCGGTAGAAAAAACGAAACGTCCTTTCGCGAACGCACGGCAAACCTTTTAGTGCCGTATGTGAGGTGAAAGGGTGACAGAAGGAGGCAGGGAAGAGGGAACCCGCGGAAATAGGTATGGTACCGGGGAAGGTGGATATAGATGGTGGGGAGCTGAAAAAATCCACTTGGGAAGCTAGTGGCAATACCCCAGGATCCAAAAAAGGGGGAACCAAACAGGGGAAAGGTCCCTGAGGAGAAAAGACCCCAGAGGAGAGGGGTTATCCCCCAAAATGGGGGGCAACAGTATAGATAAATAGGAATGAATATAGTATATATCTACAATGTCACAGGTATGAAAATAATGATAATATATATGATATCTAAGCTAAATAATGAAGGACAGAGAGACAAAATATTTTGTACTTAGCTTGTGATGGAGCACCAAAGAAAGAGGAAATGATGTCATATGTCACGCCTCTTATACTCTATACTGCATTGTGATTGGTTCTCATTTTTGTCACTCTTTTCCTTGCTGCTATGGAGTTAGTAAAGAAAGATTATGCAAAATATGAAGCCTCCGGTCATGTGATAAAATTACGATGGGCCTAATTACAGAATCTTATCGACCAAAAACAATAACACAGTCATACCTCCCAAGCGTCATGTATCGATAGAGATGGTGCTGGAGGGAAACTCACAGGATGCAGCTATGAGAAAACACATTCCCTATGCTAATCTCTCTCTAATTTATGTTTTCACCTTTCAAGTAAATCCATACCACCTAACAGCAGTGTCCAGTGAAGCAGGAAGTCAATAGGCGGGGTAAAAGGGTGTGTAACCAAAACTGCTGAAAGGGGCGAACATGCCCAAAATGGGGGCATGTCTGCCCAAAGAATTGGAAGGCTAGATGGGTATGAATGCATGTCAGGCTGCCTGCCAATCATGCAAGCTTGCCAACTAAGGGCATACTATTCAGACAGACCCCTGAGTTTGACGTGAAAAGTAGTTAGCATTGCCACCTTTCTTGGAAAAAACACTGTCCCTTTTCATTTGCATAATTAATTAGGTATGCATGACATCACATGGTGTAAATCACAAGGAGTAACATAAGAGAAAATTCTGTAAAAAAAAAAAAGTGTCCTCGTGTCTGTGTCCCCTAATGTTGGTGTCCAAGTCTCCCAGGGTCCCCTATGTATCAGTGTTCCTATCTATCAGTGTCTCAGTGCCCCATGTCTTCCAGTGCCAGTGTCCCCAAGTGTCTGTTTCCCCTAGTGTCTGTGTCCCCATGTCACTAGGATACTAGGGGACACTGGGAGACATGGAGACACAAACACTGGGAGACTAGGGGACAATGGGAGACTAGGGGACACTAAGACATTTGGGGAGGCGTGGGGACACTGAGACACTATGGACACTGAGAGACATGGGGACACTGGCTGGGAGACATGGGAACAAGGAGATACTTGGGGACATTGGGAGACATGGGGGCACTTGTGGACAGAGACATGGAGACATTGAGAGACATGGGGACACAAACACTGGGAGAATAAGGGACACTGGGAGACTATGGGCCACTGGAAGACATGGGACACTGTGAGACTAGGGGACACTGAGACACTAGGGGACACTGTGAGACTTGGAGACTCTGAGAGGCCAGGGGACACAAAGACTCGGGGACACTGGGAGTCATGGGGACACAGACACTAGGGACACTGACTGGGAGACATGGAAACACAGAGACTAGGGGACACTGTGAGACTAGGGGACACTGTGAGACTAGGGGACACTGAGACACTAGGAGACTCTGAGAGACCAGGGGACACAAAGACTCGGGGACACTGGGAGTCATGGGGACACAGACACTAGGGACACTGACTGGAAGACATGGGGAGACTAGGGGACACTGGGAGACATGGGGACACTGTGTCTTAGTTTCCCAATGTCTCAGTGTCTCCCAACGTCCCCATGTCTCCCAGCATTACCATGTCTCAGTGTCTCCATGTCTCACAGTGCCCCCTAGTATCTGTGTCCACGTCTCCCAGTTTCCCAAAGTCTCCCAGCTTCCCCATGTCTCCCAGTGTCACCTAGAGTCTCAGTGTCCCCAGATCTTCCAGTGTCCCCATGTCTCTCAGTGTCACCTAGTGTCTGTGTCCCCAGGTCTCCCAGTGTCCCCATGTCTCCCCCCATCCCTCACTTACCTAAACTGTAGTCTGTCTCTGCGGGGTGGGAGCTGTTGTCTGGACTCTCTCTGCTGTGTAGCTGCTCCCCTGCGGATCAGTCACTAGATAGAGGCAGAGATATTCTGTAATTTCCTATCCCTTCCTCTCTCCACACTGGTCGGTGCTGGTATTGCAGAATAATCTCTATTTATACTGTGAAAAATACCTGCATTTGTATTGCCGGTATTACTGCAATACCGGCATGGCCAGGCAGCCTCAAATACCGGATGTGCTGGTAAAATACCGGTGAGGTGGCAACCCTAAGAGTAGTGTGTAAAAAAAAAAAAAAATTATATATATATATATATACATAAATACATACATTCCATGAGCATGGGCCTGGAGCTGCAGTTCCATCAGCCCCTATGTTAATAGAGCCCTGCATTGAGCTGCATTGGAAAGTCTGTGATTGGACAGCTACAGAAAGTCTGGGCGGGGTTAGAAATGGATGGCTTGCAAAGGCTGCAGACAAGATCTGCAACTTTTACAAGGTGTTTTGAGGTTTGCCCCCAATGGAGAAAAAAAAAAAAGCAAAATTGAATGCATACATTCTTGTTGGGGGTTTTCATTGGAGGTATATCTACTATACAGTTTTTTTGTTTGTTTGTTTTTATTCAATCTAGGATTATGTGTGTCCACGGATTTGGCCGTTCATCAAAAATAAGACCTAATCTCTTGCTACGTAACTGTGTCTAATGGAGCCTTCTCGGCTAGACATCAGATCAAATTTGCTGTAACTAAAATGCTAAAGTAGTGAGCATACACTGCTATAACTTGGAATTAGCCTGTAGTATAGATAACTTGCCATTACCATAAATTCTATACTGTCACTCACATTATTAAACTGACAGGGACGCGGTGTACTATATCTGTGCTCGATGGTAGCATTGCTCATATCAGGGTAAAGGTATGTTTTTCTGTGTTTTTGTGATTAGGGACATATAATCTCTACACTACAATACCCATGATTAATGAAAAAGTAAAGGTGTCAACAACTGCCATTTAGGGAACAATATAATGTTGGGAATACAAACCCCTATTATTTATGTCCTGGTTGCAAATTAGTTTTTTGTCCCCCACTTACCTTTTCTCTGACACTAAGACTACCTCGGTGATGCCAACTGCTCTACCCCCCACACAAAGACATCCGGCCCTCTTAGTGACAGCCAATCCAATACTCCTGATAGAGGACATAAATCATGGAGGAGTATTAAGGGCCTTGTGTGCATGCGCAGTGAGTGCAATCAATGCTTTACAGGACCACTGCACCTAACACATTAAGATGAAGTGGTCTGGATGACAATTTAGACCAAAATATCCTCATTGTGAAAAAATAATGCAGGTTATTTTTTTTTTTGGGAGGGAGAGGGGGTGTTTTTTCTCACAAATTATTTAAATCTAAACTTTGGTCGGGAGTCCACCTAAACCAGTTTCTACTACTTTTCCAAACGTTATTTGCATTCATTATACATAGTTAATTTATAGCACAGAATACATGTGTGATGGCTCCCCAGAAAAATATATGTTGTTTTTCCCCTGACATTTTTTGTTAAAAAAATGTGTGTGTGTGTGTTTGTTACCCCCACCCCCCTCACCCCCATATCTGAGAAAACTCTAAGTAAAATTTCTTCCTCATTGCATTTTATCTATAAACCTCCTTCTACATTTTTAATTACATATATTTAAAAAGAGCTAGTTTGATCTGAAATGTTATCTTCATGCTAGTCTGTTCTCTATTATTCTTATTTAGTGAATATTGCTTTCATTTTAGTATTATACGCAGTACTATTGGCTTAGAAGAAAAGAGAGATTTTCTGCTTATTTAAGAGGAAAGTTTGGCTCAGTCTAGCATTGTGTAATGGGATAACTGCTACAATGACACAGTTTCCTGGGCTTTAACACTTTTGCTGCTATCCTCAGCACATTTGTTCAACACTGCTCTGCATTCAAACTGTCCATTTGGCTACAAAACAGTTAATGATAATTAAGGGGAACTCTTTCCGTAATGCCAATAATATATAAGGCAGAGAAAGGGAAGGCTTGTAAGATTCCTTGAACCTGTCAGAATGTATAGAATAAAGAATTGGGGATGGGTGGGGACATCATGCACAGAGGAGTGGTTTATATGGGAGGATTCTTTCTGGTTACATTGGGAGAATGCAGCAAAGAGGAGTGTGCACCAGTAAACCCATAGGAAATAGTGGCTGGGGTTGAGGTGTGCAGGAAAACTAACAGGCACATTGCACAGAGGACAGCACTGCAGGCAAACAGACCTATAGAGAGAATATATTCACCTGGAATAGAGTAACAGGTATAGGGCAGGGCTGGGGGTAACAGTCAGGTAAGGGAGGATCCGGAGAGAGTAACAACCAAAGGATAACTGGAAGGGCAACAAGGGCCGGATTGTAGGGATACAGATCAAAAGTGAAAAGGGTAATAGGTGGATATAAAGTACCATTAAAGGGGCAGTAACAGGATTTTGGAAGTTTGGAGGGACAGCAGCTCACGGAGAAGAAGTTTGGAGTGGCAATCTCTGGATTGAGAGGAAGGCTGGGGGAAAGTCTCTGGATTCATTGGGAGAATTGAAGGACAGTCTCTGGATTGAGAGGAAGACTGGGGAACAGTCTCTGGATTGAGAGGAAGACTGGAGAACAGTCTCTGGATTCATTGGGAGAATGGAAGGGCAGTCTCTGGATTGAGAGGAAGATTGGGGGCAGTCTCTGGATTGAGAGGAGAACTGGGGGACAGTCTCTGGATTGAGAAGAAGACTGGGGGCAGTCTCTGGATTGAGAGGAGGACTAGGGGACAGTCTCTGGATTGAGAAGAAGACTGGGGGCAGTCTCTGGATTGAGAGGAGGACTAGGGGACAGTCTCTGGATTGAGAAGAAGACTGGGGGACAGTCATTGGAGTCAGATAAAGCCTCCTGGGGCAGACTGTGGATTGAGAGGAGGACTGGGGGCAGTCTCTGGATTGAGAGGAGGACTGGGGGCAGTCTCTGGATTGAGAAGAAGACTGGGGGACAGTCATTGGAGTCAGATAAAGCCTCCTGGGGCAGACTGTGGATTGAGTGGAGGACTGGAGGGACAGTAACTGGATGTGGAGGGAGATGAAGGATGAGGCTGGAGAACGCCTGAGACCCCAGGACTCCTCCTGAAGTCCCGGCGGGCGGCTGTCAGTCCAGGCGGGCCGGTGACTTGGTTCGGGACGCTGTCCATGGTGCTGGCCGGGGGCCAGGTCACGCAGGCGCACTGTCTCCGGAGCCCTGTGAGCAGCCCTGCCACAGTCTCAGCACCAGCAGCCGGAGCAGCGTTACCATGAACTGCTTCATCCCTCCCAAAGCCACTCACCCGGTCTCAGCCAGCGACTCCAGCAGCACCGCGTCCCAGCCCAGCAACTCCCCAAGCCCAGGATGCCGGGGGGAAAGCGGGGACTGGTGGCACCGCAGAACACGTTCCTGGAAAACATTGTCAGACGCTCAAGTGGTAAGTGACTATGCCCCTCCATCCACCCATCCCTTGGCATCATGCCCCCTATACCCACAGTGCCACCCATCCCTTGTCATCATGCCCCCCATACCCACAGTGCCACCCATCCAATAGCATCATGTCCCCCATACCCAGTGTGCCAGCCATCACTTGGCATCATACCCACAGTGCCACCCACCCCTTGGCATCATACCCACAGTGCCACCCATCCCTAGGCATCATGCCCTCCATACCCACAGTGCCAGCCATCCCTTGGCATGAAGCAGACTCCCATGGCTAGGAGGTGGCTGGGACAAGTTTCGCATTAACTTCTCTAGTAGAGTGCTAGCCTTTAGCCCACCCTGTCTGCCCTCTGTGCCCCTGCATGCACTCTCCGGGTTTATAGGAATAAGCTGTGCCCAGTGTCTGAGTAGGGGATAGTCCGTGTACTGCATAAAGTTTGGGCTGTCCAGGGCAAGCTATGGTCAGGGAGCAGCCCAGGCAGAGAACGCAGCGTTCCATGCGAACTGCAACATTGTATGGAACGTTCCAATCCACACACAGAGCACAGCCCACACAGGCTTCCCGGGACCTGGAGAGAGAGAGGGGACACGGCATCAGAGGCTTTCTGTTAATATCCCTCTATTACAGTGTGCAATCCTCCCTCATTATGTAACACACCATGTTATAACTCTGCTTCACTGGAAACCTCAACTGACACATTAGTTACAGTGTTTTGTTTATGGACATTCTATCTATCTATCTATCTATCTATCTATCTATCTATCTATCTATCTATCTCTATATACACATGAAGAATATATCTGTCTATATTCTACATTTACATTGGGTTTTATATGTATATTACTGAAATATATATTTTTGTGTATGTGTGTGAGATGTAGATATGTCTATATTGTTTAATGTATCTGCTTATCCTTATATTGATCCTCCTAAATTTGTTGACCAGATAAGAGAAGTTTATTTTTATTTTATTTTTATTGCTGGTAATAATATATACAATGCCCAATAAATTTCCTTGAGCTAATTGCTAGCCATCTGACAATTGAACCTGTATCTGGTTCAGGTTTTTTGTGAAATCATTTGTTTCTTTGTCAAATTTTCATCCACTATAATGGAGAAATAAATAATGAATTGCTTTCCAAATTTCACAGTATTTTAATATTAAACTCATGTTGCATCCCTAACTTTTTATAATGGTTTGTTTAGTTTGCCTTTTTTATGTGTATTGTTTTCTAGAACTTCTAACAGAAGTATCTCTTACTTCTATTCAGACATGTTTTGTCTTATTATCAGAAGGAAAACAAATTTTAAAAATCTTGCATGCTGTGTGTAGGTATTCATTCTATTTTAAAAGAGTGATCATAAAACCTTCCTTCATTTGGTATATATAAAAAACCCAAACAAACCAAAACCCTAGTTTAAAATTGACGTGACCTCATTCTTCATAAGTAGTCTTGGTTAACCTGATTAATGAATGCATGCATTGAAATAGTGCATTAGAAATACAAATTTTTATTTAATTTGCAAAATATTTGTTTCACAGACCTAATTTGTGAGTTCTTGGTGTGCTTTTATATTTTTATTTTTTACCAACTGAAAAAAATCTAAATTATATTATTTGATCCTAATATTTGCATTTTAAGAACATCAACTACAGTATTCCTGTATCTGATGCGAAATGTCTTGGCTCCCATGTATCAGACTGCACAATTCACATGTACGGAAGATGCGTATTTATTGTACGTGTGAAGTTGTATAGGCAGGGGATATTTTAATGCAAGCTTCTCTCTAGCCCTAGAATATGGCAGATCTATTTGTACACTGATTATCTGTCATCTAGACTTGACATCGCACCATATGGCATGATGTATTGCAGCAGTAAATGCAGCATTAAGTGACTCTTTATTTTCAAATAAATTTCACATTTTAAAGTGGATCTGTCATATTTTAACTTTTAGTCCTTTTTTTTTTTTTAATCCTTTCCTAGAATAGCAGAGACTACTTGTTAAAAGGAGCTGGAGCCAATATCAGCCTCCTTTTTAAATAGAAATACTCTGCTCTACAAGACAAAAAGAGGCAACCTTAGACTTCACAGGCCGATTGCTTGTTACATTTCTATAAAAGTCTGTTTCACTAGATAACTTGAATTTTTTTGTTTTGACCCCTGGACCACATGATGTTTAGCCCAATATTGCCATCTTTGCAATAAATGGTCAGAAAATATTTTTGAAAGCTCCCCATTTCTGTAGTCCCACAAACCAGGGATTGAACGGAGAAGGCAAGTAATCTCAAACTGCTCTTCAAAATAGTCGAGTTGGTAATAGTAGCCAAGTTAGACTATTTTTATTGTGTTATATTGGCCTAAAATTTGCAGTTTCCTTTTCAATTCAAGTCTCCGCAAATTTCAGTTTAGTGAATAAGCCTCTTAGTAGTTTCCTACTTTTATCAGCTGCCACCAGAGGTCATCATACCAGTGTTTTAAAAATTAGAAGACCCTTTGGCCCTAATTTACACACTGTCTTAAAACCATGGAGTTTTCCCACCAATTACATGTGTATATTTCTCTTTGTAAATGTATATATTGTAGCAATACAGCGCATTGCTGAGCTTAAAGACAGAAAAACGTCAAATGTCATATTTTGCACCTTAATAGATTTAAGTTTAATATAGGTTGTGTTTTTTGTCTTTTTGTATGTTTTTTTTTAACCATTTTTTCCCCATTTTTAATTTACTTTGTATGTCTGTTCTGGCATAGTAATAAAGCCATACAAATTAACTTTAGTTTAGCATTTTCTGGGTTGAGGGTATGAGGATGTCACTCACTTGCAGAACATTTACAGTTCTGCTTTTACCAGTTATTTTTAACTTTGGAACTTTCTGTGATGTTTTTAAACTGGTGAATCATTCCAGCTGCCTTAGGGATAATCATTAAACAGGGAACTCTGTAGGGGTGACAGGTGATTTGCAAAACTGCGTCAAAGGTGAAGAATTGTAGGGGTGGGGGATCCCCAGTTCTGCTGAGTAGATGATTATTCATTGATTTAGATACCTATTTTTTGTTTGTATTTTAACATCAAACAGTTTAGTTTTGCGACAATGTCTAAAATATATCCCTGCACATCTATAATTTGTATTTTAGGAAATCCAATATGTTTCTTGTACTGTATTTTTTGACTAGTAGTGCGTGCTCTGAAAGGTTATCCATTCCATAATGTCTTATTCTGGGAAAATGTCTATTATTCCTATTGTATTGATTTTTAATAAGTTGCCTTGAAACCAAACTGCTATTTTGCCGAAATGTTTTAGATTTATTGATCTGGCTCTGGAGTCAAATGGTTAATTTTTTTTATTACGAGTCAAGAAATTTTACTCATGAGAATTACCAACGCCTAAATCAGAAATGTCCTTATGCCTTTGAAATCCTGCTTTATGTTGATAATCAGGTTGGCACATCCCAGAATTAATTCCGGCATTATGTACCTTGTGTCTGCTAACAGTTTAACTCGATGATCAGTATTGCTGTTTTGAGCTTTCCTATGGGTTCCTGAAGTAAGCGTTATGAAGTACAGACATTCATCTTATGTCCCAGATTTCATGCGTGATGCCTATATAATGGCATTATGTAGTGCCTCTTGCTTATTAATATTTTATATTTGCTGTCACTTCATGCTGGAACAACAGGGCTTATAGAACCGTTAGATTTTGAATTAGAAAACAGTATTTCCCCTTCACTGTAAAATTTTATAAACCTGCGTTTGCGTAAACTCAATTGTGGTTTTTAAAAAGGGGAAAAAAAAAACCCACACGCTCGCACATCTGTAATATTTTAATCAAACGGTGGCAGATTGTGCATGATTTATACTGCTGAACTAAAAACACATTGTAAAGGCTGCAACAGCAGAAATCCCATAGTCAGTCTGTCTTTATTGAGATATGAACCCTGCGTTACTGCCTGGCTGTTTAACAAGTTCAGAACACTTGCATTGAAAAAGCAGTCATTGATTTAAAGGGGAAACATGTTCAAAGAATCCATATCAGGGTCTTGCAGTATGTAGTGATTTGTAGTTAAAATAACAGCAACGCAAAGAATTGAGCAGCGCTAAATAAGTGAGCAAAAATAAGGAGGCAGCAAACCTGAAAATAGGGTATTCCCTTCAAAAACCTTTACATACAACTATAGACAAAA